AGGGATCGTGGTGTGAGCTCCAGCAAGTGACATCTGCCAGTCTCTCCAGACAGTAACTTACGACCTCAGAAAACTGTCCCAACCCAGCTTTGAGACATTTGCAAAACAGGGAGCATGACATATCTCCTTCTCTGAGATTCAGATCAGCTTGATTCATATCACAGGCAGTCAGCAGCATCGTTTGTCCTCCAATTTTGTTGAAAATGGTTTGTGATGCACATATTTTCTTCTGAATCACCTCACATGAAACTCCCATGGGGACCTCAACTCCAGCGATATTCACCAAGGAAAGACCCTCATACAGCCGTTTTCAAAAAAGAATACGGGTTTTGATCGAGTGGTGCTCTTCGATTCGTGCTTACCGTTGTTTGCGCCTGAGCTCCACTTTTGAATGGCAGGCGGTGCTCGTACGGCACGCGTTCCCTCGAAGTCCACGAAACTTGCCCGTATTTCATACGATTAAGGAGCCCATTTGCAGTAAAGAGAGCAAGGAAGAACATGGAATGTACATAGCTCACAAGTGCCAAAAAATTGGGCAAGCACAAGATGTGTTGAGTGGAGCACAGGACTCACTGTCAAATCGATGTAAACACAGATTGAACAGCACCACTCGATCAAAACCCGTATTCTTTTTTGAAAACGGCTGTAATACAGTTGTCCCCCTCGATAGGTCTGAACGAGTTGTGTGTGGAGGGTACAAGCATGGGCATACTCCGATTTGAGTACATGAGCTCCTGCCTGGCAGTTCATCAGGACATAATTCAAGTCCCCCTGGGACAGACCACACAGCTCTAGGAGAGCACTGGCCCTTTTGACAAGAAAGATGCATTCACGATAATCACCCAACATTTGGCAGCACAAAGCCTCAGTGTATAGTCCATGTGCCTCTCTGTGTAAGTCCCCAGAAATTTTTGCAAGCCTCTGTACCTCCCGTGCATAGGTCTGGGCAGTGATATAGTCACCAGTTTGCCATTTGATCCATGAAAGGCGAAAAAGGGCTGCAGATTGTCTCCAGATGTTTCCATGTGACTTGGCCAAGGAGAGGCCCATTTGAGAATATTTTAGAGCTGCGGGGATATCAAGCTCTAAGTAATAGTAGCCTAAATTAGTGTAAAATGTGGCTACGGTATTGTTGTCAGTACCCATCATGGTTAAATAGAGAAAGTGAACATACCTTCCAAATCAGGATCATCAAAAGTCCTCAACCACTCCAAAGTCTGAGCAATCAGTGCCTCGGGATGGGGGATTGAATGGGATTTATGGCCACTAAATAACCTAACAGCAAAGGATGCTTTGGCCCGATGGTCCTCTGAGTGTGGGAGAAGGGTGGTTACCTTGTCCACCAGAGGTATTGCACTTTTGGCAATAGTTAAATTGAATTGGATGAAATGAGATGCGCAGGAGATGCTATCTCCTAGATTGGGATGCCCCGGGTATAGTCCGTTCTGGATAATGTTGAGAATATTGGTATAATTTGAATTTAGTCGTTCAATATAGAGGGCTGATGATTGTTTCCCCATATCAGCTAAATACACTTGGAGGAGCTCCTGGAAGTGTTTGAAAAGTGGTCCGATCATTTCATCTGTTGGTGGCCGGAATTTTTTCATGTATTCTCTGATTGGTACCAGAGCCTTGAGCCGCTTGTGGTCATCAAGGTAAGCCAGAGCAGTGCGAAGCAGGGCCCTTTTACAATCAAGGATATCCTGAATTTCAAATTTGCTTTGCTTCAGTTCTACATCTGAGAGCCCATCCGGAAGGATTGACAAGAGACTCAGAAGCTCCTGGGAGTGAGGTGTGGACGCGATTCTAGGACTTTCAAGGGAAAGCAAGATGGATGATTCGAGATTGGATCTTTGGTCATAACCCTCTGAGATGACTGAGGTATGCTCCCTCTGCCAGCGCAACAAGATTGCAGTGCAGCCCTCCACATCCACTGCATGAGCAAGAAGGTTGATTGAAAGTGGCATATTGTCTGTAAGACTCAAGACTTGATCAATTTCCGCCATTGAGTGTCTGTCTTCTGCGATATCAATGAACACTTTGCGTGCAGCCTCTTGTGCCAAGGGCTCCAGAGGGGACGGGAATGGCCGTGTCCATTGCACTTTGGAGGGTCTTTCTGCTCCTCGCATTGTAATCTTGGACTTTATGAGCAAAACAAGTACACAGGAAGAAATGAGAATACACACCATCAACGCAAGACTAGTTATATCTGTGATCAGGGAGAGAAACTCCTCAACTTCTTTGCAAGATTCCGGTGGCTCCCAGACAGTCTCGAGGTTATCAAGAATCAGCAAAGTGGGTGACCCATCTGAAAGACGGTAGAGCACTGCTCGAGTCAAGTCTTTCCCAGGTTTCATTCCAAGATGAGCCCCAATGAGACCTGCAAGTTCCACCTTGCTTGCTGCAGTCTCACAGGCAACAAAGAACCGATTTCCCTGGTATTTGATAACAATTTCTTCATGATGTAAGACAGCTTGTGCCAAACTGGTCTTTCCCATGCCACCAGCACCTAGAATGGCTATCCTTGGAGTGCTTTGTTCAAAATGTTTGAGGATATCAGCAAGCTCTGATTCACGGCCATGGAATATTTTGGGTTCTGCTGGCAGCATTGAGATGGAGTTGGAGCTATGATATCCATGAGCATTGACACAAAAGGACCAAAGTTATTGGGGATCACCTTGCATATGAACCAGAATACATCCTGCTAATCTGTGTGTTCTGTCATTATTGCTCTTATTAACAAATATCCTCACATACAGATGATGCTGAGTCTGAACTGGATATTGTCTCAATTGTATTGAGCACCTCCAGATGTCTGATCTGGGCCTGTTCTTCCATTTCTGTGGCAGTGGACATGATATCTGAGGATTTAATCTGCCAACTAGCTTGAGTGGGTGTGTCAATCTGCTTGAATGTGCAAAGTGTTCACCTGAAAGGACTTGATTCCCTCTTGCAATCCCGTCTTGCAATCCTTCAGTAGCCCATTTAATTCCCCCTGTCGGAAAAACTTCTTGACTTTACTGCCACTTTGCTGGGCCTCAATAAATGTATGAATCTTGTGGAGGGTCCTAAATGTGTTGTGTGAGCCATGTGCATGTGTATGGGAGTGGAGGGTTACTGAGTGAAATTTGCAATTTCATTCAATGTGCTAGGTGGTAGTTCAATACCGGTATCTGACTTGACATAGACACCAATGATTGCATTGAGGATGTTGTGAGTCTGCTCCATCAGCTCAGCACATTCATTTTTGTCTTGTTTGATGGTCTAGGGCACCATCTCAGAGCCATGCTGGTCAATTCATTTTGGGAATATACCTGAACCAATTTCAAAAGTGACTGTGTGGTATTCACCATGGCTTCCAGCCCATGGATCTTCAAGGTGTTGACTAGGACATTGAGTGTGTTGACCGTGATGGTAACACATTTTGAGATATTGTCCAAGCGGACTTCAGTGACAGTTTGTTGATGAGGCATGCAGGGAAAGGGGCATCTCAGTTAGAACCCTTCCAGACTTATATGTCAAGGGTCTTGGGAACTTTCGCTCTCATTGGATACTGTTCATCTCTTCTTCTGGCATATAGGTTTGATGGTCCATCCAAATACATCTATATCTGTCTTTGATATTCCACCAGATTCTCCAAAAATATGCAGTGCACTCTAGGCATGGGGCAAACAGTGCAACCTATGTACTTGTCAGTGTATTATTTGTTCATATCATCTACAACTCTTCTTTGCTCAGCCACCTCAACACCGGCTGTTTCTTAACCCACGCCGGTAATCTACCTACCTACCTACCATCCAGATTCAAGGAATCACCACATAAATCACTCAAAAGTTGTTTATATTCCCGCCACAGTGCTGGGGCAGCATACAAGCGCCCACATTCAATTATGCATGTAATCATGCTGATTACAACATCTATTTACTTATGGTTCCGTAGCCACACATTGCCAGCTCACCACTTCTTGATCCTGTACCACCACCTCCTCCTCCTGTATTCTAGCTAGACACAAACCCCAACTCCCTATTAAGGGTCTTATCGCTACCTATGTGTGATCTCTTTTCTGGTCTCTTCTTAGTATCTTGCAGGTGAGCAAGATTCCATTTTTTTAATAGCAATATCCGCCTTCCCCCCCCCCCCCCCCCCCACCCCCACACACACATTAAGACGTGAGCAAAGCTCGGCCATCTCGCACCCCTACCCCACCCACCTCGCCGACGCAGCCAATGCCACCAGCACCGTGCCACCCACCCACACCCACCACACCACTTCACATCGTCCCTGAACTGTCTACTGTGACGTTCTGGGCATTGCCACCCACCCAACCGCCCCCACTACCTCCCTTTTCGCCTTGGCAATCCACACTAACAAACTTGACCACAGAGTCTGCTCCTCTCCCTGCCACGTCATCACCCTGGCGTCACGCCAACCCTCCGTGCCCCACTCCCTCCTCACACGCTCTCAAGCCAACAAGGCTCATTCGTGCTGTGAGCTATCACTTTGTGATTAGCTCCCAGCGCCCTTCTGTGCGGAATGAAACACGCCCCGACATAAAACTTAGCCCGGCCTGCTTCAACATATGAAAGCACTCTACAACAGGAATTATTAAAAAGTGCACCCGGTATATAAAGAGTACACGAGGAAAAAACAAATCACGGTGTTCAATGCCATACCTCAAATCGAACGAGGAGCTCGCAATATTTGCGTGTGTTACCGTTACACCACTGGGCCGTGATGCTGGAAAGGTACCTCGGGGGGGAGAACACGTGAATGAAACGAGGCCATGCGATGCAATGTCGATTAAACCAAAAAGGCGCCAAACGTCTCTAGACAATAAAAATGCGCCAACCCAAAAAGAACTAGAAAACGGTCAAGGGCGCTGATGTGTTGGGGCACCAAGTGACGAGCAAGCAAAGAATATTGAACCAAAAAGGCGTGAGAATTGAAAAGAGGGAAAAAAAGACGCCAGTCGAAATAAAAAAGAGCGGTTGAGGGAAGTAGGGCCAGACCCCGAGTCGAACGAGGTTAGCGGATCGAATATTGCTTTAACCTTGATCAAGCATCCGCGCACTAACCGTTGTGCTATCTGACCGTAATAGCAGGGACTTGGAAGGCAGGAAGGAGTCACGAATGACAGGAGATACAGAGCTGGCAGTCAAGACAATGAAAAGGCGCCTGGCAAGAATTTGGCTTCCATTAAGGCGGGCACCATAATGAAGACTGACAAGTGAAAGTGCGAACCAAGGGGAAAGGGGGCGGGATGTGCAGAAAGAGCACAGGTTACGAAGGGCACGGAGCGAAGGGGCGAGAAGGGTGCCGGCGCGCTTAGAAGACGAGAAGGCGCTACTAGCAGTCGAAGGAAAGGTGCTCTCAAGGGAAAGGTGCAGGCACTGTTTGAAAGAAAGGCGCAGGCGCTGCTGAAGGAAAAGGGGCAGGAGCGTTCAAAGGAAAGGCACCGGAGCTAGACTAATGGGGAAACACGGGGAGGTATAAAAGGAAAGTGTGCAGAAGGGAAAAGGCATCTAACTACCTCCACGGCTCACTGCTATGGAAAGGTGCTCCCAGTACTACGGGAGGCACCAATCCAGTACTTTGTTTACTCAAATTATGTTAGTGTGCCTTCACGAGAGTGAGGTATCAAAGGTCACCTTGACCGCAGTTGGAGGATTGGGACTGTGCAAGAAGCCTCCTAGTCAAACATAGGGGGAATATAGGAATCCAGGTGTTGAAGCGCGCATGATCGAAGAAGGCGTGCAGCGCAAACCTCCAAACAGCCAGCAGACTGATCAAGGCTGCATGTAACTGTTGAACTTTGGCACTCATAACACACATTGCGTGCGTAGGGCGCAATTATTGAGAAGGTGCTATACCATCTTGACTATACCACTTCCCACATTCGAATTTGGCGACTCTTCCATCGACTAGCAAAAGCGCCCCACTACTTTGCAGTCAGTGCACACACCCAAATAACGGTTGCGAAGGAGCACACTACAACCCGAAGGCGCTGCCTTTATCCGGTTCTGAAGACACTGCTTGCCCGGACTATACGAGGCAGGGAGATACGGAAAACACCACATCGCCTGGATCTACCGACTAGGAGCGCATTTCACATATGTCTCGAAACGGTACCAGGCGTTCCAATCGTACCTCTCTTTCTCTCTGACCTGAACCAAAGCCTTTCGACCATTCTTAAAGTACAAGATCTGAAGACGGACGCTGCAGAGGTGCTTCGATCACCCACTTTACGTGCCACAGTGAAAGTATGGCACCGTGATTTACAAGAGCTCTCCTTGCACGGTATGTGGGTAGATCTTTCAACGTACCTCTCTCTCATGCACCCACCTCTCAGCTTTCTTTACGATTCAGCCGATTGTTTTACGAGAAGCATTTCTATCTCAACTCAGTGTTCCCCCTCCTTTGTTTCAATACCGCAAGAGCAACCGAATCATATGCCCGTTCTGCAACGACAAGAGGGCTTTGCTCGTGGAAAGCCTCGTCCTCCACATTTACCACAAGTTAGTCCGGACTCTGCTTATCCTGAATTCTTTAGCCCTCATTCTCGCCCTAGACACCCTGAAGATTTCCCTCGCGTGCGCGATTCCTACTGTTGAGATTCGATGTTGTATAGCCCTATTTGTCCTATTACCTAATTCATTCCTTTGTCGTCTTTACTGTCGTGTGCGCGCATTCGTCCTCTCCGCTTCACAGGTTATAGGGCCCCGGCCTCCGTATTTGCGCTTTATTGTGTCGTTTTGGTGATACTCCAGAACATTGGTCGAGACGCTAGCAGTTCCTTTGCGACCGAGCGCAGTTTGGCTCCCTGGGGTTATCTGCCGGGTTGAGACGCTAGCTGTTCATTTCGCGAAGCTTGAGCGCAGTTTGGCTCCCAAGCATACCCTTGAACTTGTTGCCACTGGGTGTAGACGCTAGCTGCTCCTTCTCTGAAGCCTGAGCGCAGTTTGGCTCCCCAGACACACACCAACTCATTACCACCCTCTTTCCTTTGACTTTTCCCACTCTCCACTACTCAGCATGACCACCACAACCAACCTTAACCCTTTTCTCGCACGCATCGCTGTCTTTGACGGCTCCAACTGGCCCTCTTTCAGCAAGGACGCGCAGGTATTTTTCCAGTTGGATGGAACGTGGGATATATTGGACGGGAAGAGGAAGAAACCAACAGATGCAGACGAAGCGGCGAAGTGGACGCGGAATAACGAGCGCGCGTACTCAATGCTCTATTTCCTCATCGGCGCTGACTACCGCAGTGTCATTGCGGATGTGTCCACGGGTGTCGAGGCTTGGCAACTTCTGAAGGATGAGTATCAGAAGGACTCCTCCGCCCTCCGGCTCGCGCTCCGCAACGAGCTCTACTCCATCCGCCATGATCCCAAACACCCCGTCAGCGTCTACATCGGGGCGATTCGTTCCGTCGCCCGCCAACTCAAAGCGATCGGACACGCGCCGTCTGATGCTGATCTCGCCGACCTCATCCTCCTTCGCCTACATCCATCATTCTCTTCCATTCGTTCCGCACTTTCCAATACCACCCCATTCCCCAGCCTCACCTCTCTGATCTCCGCCATCAAAGCTCACGAAATGCAGGAGAAACTCTCAGACAGCGTTGCCCAGTCAATCAAGAAGGAGGAGGAAGACGACGGAGACCAGCCGATGACTGAGCGCAACGCAGCGATGGTTGCTCGATTTGATTGGGGTAATTCGAAGGAGAAGGATGGTGTCTGTCATCGATGTGGCCGCCCTGGTCATGTCGCCCGTCGCTGCGTCGCCGACATGCCCGGGGATATCAAAACCAAGTTCCTCGCATCCTCGAAGCATACCGCAGCTGCAGCTGAAGAAGTCATTGTCCTCGGCTCGTCTATCGAATCGGATGACGAGGACAATGTTGCCTTCTACGCCAATGAGCGATCCTTCCTCTCCGACTCCGACATCGACAGCGACCCTCCCGTTCTCCATCCCAATCCATCCTCGCCGTCCGCCATTCAGCCTCAGGGGGTGCACGCAGACAAAAGCAAGAAAAAGGCTCGACGTGGACATCGAGGTCGTGGTGGAAAATAATTCTTAT